CTCCCTCCCTCCCTCCCTCCCGCCCTGAAAACTGGACACTGCTTGGTATCGTGACACAGGATGAATCTGCCTGTGCTGGCCCATGAAGCTCAGCAAGAACGGCCGGTCTCATCTGCGAATCCTTCCATTCGATTGACGGTCTTTCCGGGTGAGGCTAGGCTTTTGCAGGATTTCGACTGGGCTCTCTGTGTCCGCTATAGATGCACAAAATGCCAGTGCACACCATCCTGTCTGTGATCTGCTCTTATCTCAGAAGCAGTGCTGCAAGATGCAACCAATGCACAAAATCCCAAGGCCCCAAGCCCTGAACCCTGAAGCCGGCCTCTACGGCCTTGAGCCGAAGTAATGCCAGAGACCAGGCTCGCGGATCGTGGCTGGTCGCCTTCCGAACGTCCTCCCGCACGATTCTATCGTCTAAGTCCTTGGGTGAAGGACTCCAGCACTGCCATGGCCGGCTAGGAACCCATGAAAAGAATCAACAGTCTGATGTCTGCCGGGATTCAGCGCCCAGCAAAATGACCACGAGGTTGCGAAGCACAAGCTCGCAATCATCCCGAACTTCTGTTCCGGGAAACCACACTTGCCGACTCGAAAGGCTCGCAACCTGGACTGCAACAACAAACACAGGCTGACACCCGTGCAAGAGAAACAAAAACCCTCCAATGCAACTCATTCTAGTACAAGAAGCAGCTCGTGCAAAGGTCATCGTGTAGTCGCCGCATGGCTCGCCACGGTTCCCGCTGCCGCGAACGGTCGTTGCCCGGTTCTGGAACCTTGGCTCTTAATACTCAGGCAAGCACCAACCGAAAACACAAACTCGACTTGGCAGCCTGCACTAACTTCGGTGAAGCCACACGTTTTTCAAGTCCATGTTCTTGCCGAGAGCGGACAGCGAGCGAAGGAGCCAGATGTTCGTGCCGCATAGCACGGTGGGGTGCCTCGAAGGAATGCGGCAAGCTCACGTGTTCCTCAATACCTTGGCCTCCGATTGCAGTTGGGACACACATGTCGATGTCCGAAAGCTCCCATCATGAAGAACTCCTTCTCCATGCCGATCGCATGCATGGTTGCCTGAGATGGGCGATGCTCAAATCAACAGAAGTTCCTGTGCAACAGCAAGGTACACTGTGTTGTGTCGGGCTGCCATCATCGTAGCGGACTGAAAGAGGCGATTCTCGGAGTTTCGGCTCTGGGTCGTCACAGTCCAGGCTCCGATGTTGTGGGCCAGTTGGCACATGTGTGCTTCCATCTCCTCGGCTTCCCAAGGGCTTCTGAACACACAGGTTGAATAACCAAAACCAGAACTAGTCAACTCCCTGCCGTGCGTCTATTGCATCATCAACAATCGCTCCAGTCCTCAGCTCCGCATGCCCAATAAATTAGCCACACCCACAACCCGCACGAACAGTGCAATGTGCAAAGTCCCAACTGGGCTCAGGCTCCCCGATGTCTTCGGCGAACCCCATCGAAGGCCTCCGATTTTCAATCGAAGGATATAGCCGATACCTCGGCTTTCTCCCCAATACATCCTTCCCGATCCCACTTCTCCCAACAATGCCGCTACTTACGGATACGTGCCAGGTTGCAGCGAACCAAGTTGTAATTCGCACGCCAATCCTCAACCATGCCCACGGCCTTCAGCCCTGCCTCAGCAGACTCAGGCAAAGCCACGAATGTTTGATCATGCCTTCTGAACCCCAAATTAGATGCAACTGAGATTCCTTCTGGTACTCAGAAAGCACACGATCTTGGCCATCCCCGCTGTAAATCTGAAAGAAATCGAGATCCCTGCGGCGATTCTCATCTTGCATGTACCCATCCTGCAGCGCCCACCCATAATTCTCACGTATCAAAGCTTGCCACCACAGCGGCAGCCCACGAAGTACGTGGGGAACTGGATCCATTGCCACAGCCCCCACAATTTCGGACACTCACAGCTGAGGGTATGTCCAAGTTCCCAACAGCCCAAGCAGAACCCTAAATCCAAGCAGCACGCAAATCGAAGTGGAATCGGAATGGACGACTATGA